ACAAATGGAAGTAAAATGCGTGCCGCATCCCAAAACGGGATTGATCAACGGCAAATGCTTTATCCTTTATCCTTTATATAGAGCGGAGCAGATAGCAGTAGAGGGAAGCGGAGAAGAAATGTGTAGGAATATGGAGGGCAGTACAAAGTGCGACAGATTGGAGGTCCCATTGGTGAAAACATCACCAGTCATACGGTAGTGGGAACTTGCATATGACTAGTGAAAGTAAGTAAGAGTCGGAGTTCACTGAGGTAATAGAGAGTGGCAAAAAGGATGAAGATCTGAAATGTCACTCAGAGAGGCGAAGAGGTGAGGTGAAAAATGCGAAGTGATCCAGAAAGAGAACGATGAGAGGCGAGGAATCGGTTGGAATGAGGATGGAAGGAAAGAGGAGGAGTTCACATAAATCCCCAAAAAATTGTTGTGCCAGCTGGGTGAGTGGACATGGAATTCAACACTAATTACAGTACCAGTCAAGAGTACAGGAAGATCGCAGAACAGTACGGGAATCAAGCGAGCCTACAGCTGAAGGCGGAAGTTCGTTTCCAATAGATGTGGAAATAGCACTAACCGACTTCCCAGCTCTGCACTCTGCAGCCAAAACTTTACCCGCGCGTATATCTCGCGGTTTCCCAGCACAGTCTTAATACGGGGCTTTATAATAGAAATCAGAAAGGATACTTATTCAGAACGTCTAGTAATTACCACCGTAAGGAATTAGACTTCCGATCCAAACAAGAGCTTATTTCCGCTTTCTTTTTTTGAGAAAAAATGAAATATCTTATATCAATAACATTTGTGAACATTTAAAGTGCTTCTTGAATGGGTGATATGATGATACAGTAATCATGGATTACAGTAACCCGAGGCAATACAGAGATTACTGTACGAGCAAAGAAGGTTCCTCCTCAAACGAAGAAGTGATCGAATTAAACGATATCCTAACAAATGTCCGAGTGATTTCAGCGGATTACCGGCTCGTAAAGAAGTACTACGCGATAATCCGCCGGGAACGTCGGCAAAGGCGGCGACGGCAAGGCTCCACGCGACGACGATACGCAGTAGCACATCACTCGCGCATGCGTTACGCGGGGGTTTATTGAATAGGAGAGAAGGCCGTGCCATAATTGCTCTCATAACTATCCCCGGTGAGGGGATGGTAGGCAGAGGCGAACTCGATTACGAGACAGGTCATGGACAATTCCAAATCGTGAACGTCAACATTCATTCAATTTCGCTTTCACTTATTCTACTCTTACTCTGATCCATGCAGAATGATCGACGGTTGTGCAGATCTCCAAATGTGGTAAACCCCGCCCCTTGGCCGAGTTTTCACTCATAGCTATTGATGGTGACATAGTGCTTCGTCACTAATTACAGCACACAACCCATCAAACTCATCATTGGCACTGTGGTTATTGCCGATATGTCCTCTGTGACACTCTGTTCACGGACAAGGTGAATCATCAATTTCTCAAGCGAAAGTTTGAGGTGAGCGACAACCCGCCATTTCCCACAGTAACTGTTCCAGTTTGCTAAGAAAATACAAATCCCGGGAAATAAGCAGATTGCTTTTTGATCTATACACTTTTAGTTGTATTTAAATGTGAGTGCGGGCTGAATCCGTGAATCTTTCATGTTATAAAATAAGGATAAAGGATAAAGCATTTGCCGTTGATCAATCCCTTTTTGGGATGCGGCACGCATTCTACTTCCATTTGTACATTCGTAGTGGCGTTTGAATGCGATGTGGCCTATACAATGACTTGCGGGGGCCAGCCGATGTACAAGTCAGTGTTTTTATCCTCCCAGACAAGTCTGGTACCAATTAACCGACCCCGGAGGGATGGAAGGCTTGGTTGGCCCGGGCGACTCACGACCCAGGATTTGATCCCCGGACCGCTCGCGTGGTAAGCGTGCCACTTGCCACTACACCACTTTCCGCCCTTAATGTTATAACATTCGATAAATATATTATCATGAAAAAAATCTTCATTTATACAGTACCAACAAATAAACACAGACCATCAGAATGAAAACACCATTGGATTAATAACTATCGGAAATCCTTTCGTGCTGTACATTAGCATTGCTCTAAGTAGAAGAATCTAAAACAAGGAATGGTTTCAACAACCCCTGAAAGCCACTCCAGTCCAAAGCAAACATTTTATAATTAAGTACCAGTACCTAGTAAATATTTTAAACACTATTTTGGAGTGTCTGCCCAGCCAAAAATGTCGATCAACCCTAAAGTTTTGCTCAATAACTAGAGCAACCAATATATTAGACTGTTCGGAAAGTTTCCGCCAACATTGACCCTCAAGGATTTTGACTGCTACAAATTGCCATTGATTTTGTTGAATTTTCTCACGTGTCTATTGCTCACGTCTTCAATAAATAAATAACAAAAAGTCAAGAGTGCAAAACTTGGTTCAGCAAAACATTTTTGATCAAATAAAAGCTATCCCTATGCCTTCGCCCAGAAGAGGGATTGAGAGATTCGGATGTTAGGAGTGCAGGAGTCATGTAGAAATTGGCGTAGGGCTTTTCACCATCATGACGAGTTTCAACGTTTGCTCTTTTGGAAAGACTATGCAGATGGCTGGAAAAGGAGAAATCGATGGGCAAGAGGTCTACTGTGCTAGAGTTCAAACTGTGCACAGCTGAAAGTGTGAGATGGGGTTGTG